CAAAGTGACCTGCAGATGGTTGTTACCTGTGCTGGGCTGGGAGGTGCCCAGGAAAGGCCAACCTGCAAACCAAGACCAGCTGCCGTAAGTGCGGGGCCTGGGGCCACTTCGTGAGGGGTATGGAGCACACTGAGGCCAGGTGTTGCTTGTTGGAGAGATTTTAGCAAAGTCTGAAGCATGAGCCAAGATAGGCCATTAGCATGGAAGAGCCACTGGAAACAACTTGGGTGAGGCTGAAAGTTGGGTGGGGCAGAGTCTCAGAGAATCCACAGGGCTGGACGAACAGTGGGAGACAGGATGATGGAGACTCAGATATGGTGCCCAACCCCAGGAATTTAAATTTATTTCTATAGCTTCTACAATTTCTCTAAAACCCTCGTTGGCCAGCAGGTGGGACAATGTCATTTCCCACCCCACCACCCTGACTCTGGGACACCAGGGCTGTCACACAGAGATATCATTCACACCAAAGATGCATGACGTTGAAGAAAAAAATATTGGACAGTCAGCAAAATACTGGGTGGGAGAGCAACTGCAGGGACCAGGATATGTCATCCCAAAATATGCTGCTTTGGCATAAGAATTGTTTTGAGCTGAAGGCATTTGAATTCCTAAAATCTGTTATCTGCCTGGCCCTAACCGGTTTGGCTCAGTGGATAGAGCGTCGGCCTGCGGACTGAAGGGTCCCGGGTTCGATTTCGGTCAAGGGCATCTACCTTGGTTGAGGCCACATCCCCAGTAGGGGGTGTGCAGGAGGCAGCTGATCGATGTTTCTAACTCTCTATCCCTCTCCCTTCTTCTCTGTAAAAGATCAATAAAATATTTTTTTTAAAAAATCTGTTATCTGCCTAAAAGCAGAGCCTCTTGAATAAATAACAAACAAACAAACAAACAAATAAATCCTTTCCTGTGGTCGGCTGTAATTTTCTCTTCTTGGGAAAGAGAAGTGGGAACCACTCCCAGACAGACTTTGTCACAAATGTTATCCTTCCTGTCTGTCCTCCGAGGGCCCCTCTTCCTTCCCTAAAGTTCATTGCTCGGCCGTAAGCGGCCATTGCTGCCCTCTCTTCCCTATCACTGTGTCTGTAAGTTCTCAGGCCTCATGGTTCCTTTGGGCATTCACTTATTTATGTCACGCCCCGCTGCTGCGAAGTGCATTAATCCAGGTGGCCAGTACAGAGAATGAAACCCGAAGGGAGCTCGCCAGCAAGGGGTGTGGAAGACAGGAGGATGCCCCCACCCCATTTTACAGATGGGCAAAGTGAGGCCTGGGGGCGAGCCCTACCTCACACTAAGGGCACAGAGTGGAGGTTAGAAAGCCATCCAGAGACCTCAGTCACATGGCCTCTCCCTCCATGAGCTCTTATTGAGCACCACGTGTGTGCCTAGAAGGACAAACAGAGGACATGAGAGCTGGGGACCATCCAAGGACCCAGGGCAAAACACAGGACAACACCAAGGTTGAGCAATTTCTCCTAAAAAGGGAGGGATGGACCTGTGTTCCCCACTGGGGCCCCAGCGGCCCTGCCAGGCTAAATAAATTTATATCAATGAAAATGTAGTAACGGAAGCATTCTGTTTCTCATTCTCACTGGCCGCCTGTCACATGCTCCAGAGCCACCCGTGGCTGCTGATGAAGAACATGTCCATTGGGCCAGAAAGTTATTCTGAAAGACCCGGTTCCACAGTCCAGTCTTCCCTGCTTCCATTTCCCGGTGAGAACAGAGGGCGAGCTGAGTTCCCTTAGGTTAAGGACATGCACTGTTTGCTTTGAGACCTGAGGGTGGACAAGTAAGGAACTGGGAGCACGCACAGTGGATACAAGTGGAAGTGGCGATTTCCCAATAAGATGTATTGGAGCAGCGTCGATGTTGCGGTTGTGACATTGTAATCGTTTTGCAAAATGCTACTACTGGGCAAAACTGGGCAAAATGTTACTTCTTGCAACTGCATGTGAATCTACAATAGTTCCCGCCAAAACTCACAGCACAGCCTGGCTGGTGTGGTTCAGCGGTCAGAGCATCGTCTGGTGCCCCAAAGGGTTGTGGGCTCCGTTCCTGACCAGAGCACATACCCAGGTTGGGGGTTTGGTCCCTGGGTGGGGTGTGTGCAGGTGGCAACTAATTGATGCTTCCCTTTCACATCTATGTGTCTCTCTCATGCTTTCCTTCCTCTCTCTAAAATCGATAAAACCATATCCTTGGGTGTTTTATTGTTTTTTTTTTTAAAGCAAAGCTGCCTTTGAAGCCATTAAAAAAGACCTCAGCACATGTTATCACGATGAGTGTGGGTTTCTGGCGCTCTCTTAAATTTTCTGCCCAGGCAAGGGTCTTACTCACCCTCTTTGGTTCTGGCCCCGACTTGGAGAGGGTGTAAGCTGGTTTCTTGCCATGCGTGCTTGGCACCAGGTCGCGGCAAGAGGTAAAACCGTCCCAGGAGATGGGGACTGTGGTCCATGATGAAGGTCCACAAGTTGCACAGGGTTCGGGTCGAGTCACTGGGATGATGGCCTCGGGCCGGGAGTGGCCAGGGTGGGACCCACAACCCTTACACGGCCCCGCACCTGCAGGGTGGGTGCCGCTCTGAATGTACAGATAAAACTCCAGGCGATGCCAGAGCATCCCCGTTGGTCATGTTGGGAGTCTGTTCTGGGCACTTGCTAACCTCTTGCTGGAAAGTCTCCCCAAGGGCCTTTGGCAGGGGCGTCCTGGGACCCCGGACGCGGACGTCTCCTGGGCCCCGAGCCAAGCGCGGAGCACAGGACAAGCTCCCTGTCAGGGGTAGCTGAGCCTTTTGCGGGCTCACAGGAGGTCACAAAAGGGAAACTGAGGCGGGGAGAGAATAAGCTGTTGCCCTCACATTCCACGAGGGGAAACTGAGTCTCCATGAGAGGCACCTTCTAGGGTTGCCCACGAACCCCAAACCCCACATGGGGAGGGGCTTCGACAGAGGGAACGCACGCAGCCCAGAGTGGGGACCAGAGCCACCGGGCTCCAGCCGCTTGTCCACACCCCGTCCCTGGCCCAGCTCACCCCCCCGAGCTTTGAGCGGCACGGCACATTCTTCCTCGTTTCCGACTTGATTCCATCACACTTTGACCCGAATCGAACCCGGGACCTCTCAGTCCACAGGCTGACGCTCTATCCACTGAGCCAAACCGGTTTGGCCACACTTTGCTTTAAACCTGTTTCTCAGCCCTGGCCAGGTGGCCCGGTTGGTTGGAGCCCTGTCCCTGCACCAAAGGCTGCAGGCAGGGCATGTGCCTACGCTGCCAGTTTGATCCCCTATGGGGCACATATGGAGGCAGCCAAGCGATGCTTCTCGCATACATTGATGTTTTTCTCTCCCTCCCCTCCCCACTTCCCCCCTCTCCCCTCTCCCCTCTCTAAAAATCAATAAAAAACAGATCCTTGGTGAGGATTTTTTTTAAAAGCTCATAAACCCATTTCTCCTCCTTGCGAGTGAGTCTAAGACCAGGACAGACCACCAGGTTTCCTCTGGAGAATTACGGACAAGGAGGTGGGGTGATTCACAGGGAGGGTGTGCCAAGGGATTAGCGACAATGACAGGAATGAAGACTTGCACAAGTCCCTAAGTCTGGGAGGAGATGCAGTGCTGGCCTCCTCCCACCCCAGGCTGGTAAGTCATTCCTTGGTGCATTTATTGAGTACTTGCTGTGTACCAGACTCTACACAAAGTTGGTCCCATCATCCTTTACATTTTTATTAAGAAGAAAGTCACCCTTTTAAATTCAATGCCATTTAGTACATGTACCATATTGTGCAACCATCACCATCACTTCTTATCTAATTCCAGAATGTTCCACCACCCCAAAAAGAAGCCCATTCCCATCAGCAGTCACTCCCCATCCCTTCCTGGACCCCAAAAATCATGAACCCACTTCCTGTCTCTGTGGACTTGCCTGTTCTGGACATTTTACACAAATGAAATCACTGTGGCTTTTCGTGTCTGTCTTTTCTCACTTTATTAAAAAAATAAATCTACACTAATAAAAGACAAAGATGCTAATTGACTGTCCCTTCACTCCCCCTTAAGTCACACCCACCAGCCAATCAGAGTGACTATATGCAAATTAACCCAACCAAAATGGTGGCCAGCAGCCATGGAGCTAGAGTGAGCAGGAGGCTCGCTTGCCCCAGT